GGGTTCTGAGACGCCGGCGTGGTGCAACATACCGCAGCGGGCGAGACGAGCATCTCTACAGGCTTAGCGCCCTCTGGGCAGGCGCTGCGCTCGCGCCGTAAGTCGTTGATGCAGGTCCAGGCGGGTCCCTATTCGCTGGGCATGACAGGGGACAGGCAGGCACGACTGGGCTGGTGTTGCCTAAAGAAGAACTCGAGAGTGCGGCTTCCCCTTTTCCAGGCTTGCTTGGGCCAATGGAAATTGCACCAGGTTAGCGCCCCTCGCCCACCCCCCAATCAGCAGCCGGCGCCGTCCCCCACTTCCCCACCTGGTGACTGCGGTGGCTTGCGACCGTGGCTTCCGACCAGGATACCTTAATTGCAATGCCGCGGGCAGTGGCGTATCATGTACTGCAATGGCTGGCCTTGTCTGGGCACCTCTCCACGGCTCTCTCACTAACATGGATCACACTGTCCGGGCCCATGCGCCGATTGTTACTCTGCATTCTCCAGAGTGCAGATCCAACCTCAAGTCAGGTACAGTCTTGGCCCCATAATGGAGAATACGAGCAACATGCCCCTGGAGACGAGCCGCAGAGTGGCCCTCTCCTCTCATTATCGGTTCCCTCCCTCTCCTCAGATTCTTCTTCCCTCTTCCCCTGCTTCATCAGTTGAGATCCTCAGGAAAGCCTTTTATAGCTGCTTCCGTCCCCTCGTTTGACTCCATCCCGCTTTCACTCCTTCAGCGGTTGTGCCTTCTTTCCATCTCTAGTTCCAATTGTACATCTTCCGAGAACATGAAGGGTGCTTTTGTTGTTGCCGCCACCGCGGCTATGGCTGGCAGTGCCAATGCCGTCAACCACGGGCATGCTCACCAGGTCTTCGCTCACAAGAGAAACACTGACCTCTGTTCTACTTGGGTTACCACCATCTGGGAGGAGACTGTCAGTACGTGTTGCTCCCCTGATAACTTCCAATCTCGAGGATTGTCGAATCGCTAACTAGAGTATCGTAGTGACCCTCACTCCTACCGAAGCACCAGAGCCGTCCACCACCCCTGCCGTCGTCAGTTCTAACTCTCCTGTCACCACGAGCAGCGCTGCTCCTGTCTCGCCAACTTCTACTGTGAAGTTGCCGGTGCCAACACCGGAGCCCATCACCTATGCTACCCCCGGTACATACACCGTTCCTGCTACTACCGTGACCGTTAGCGAGACCACCACGGTCTGCGGTGCCAGCAGCACTCACGTTGCTCCCGGAACTCACACCGTTGGAGGAGTCACAACTGTCGTTGAGACTGCCACCACCATCACTTGCCCTGTTGCTACCGCTACCACCAACAACGGTGTTGTGACTAGCATCATCACGAGCACCGAGTACGTCTGCCCCAGCGCTGGCACCTACACTGTTGCTCCCATCACTACCACCGTCACCGAGGAGTGCGATATTCACTTCCCTATCCCCACCTCGTATGCTCCTGGTACCTACACTATTCCTCAGCAAGTGGTCACAGTCACCGAGACCAACTATGTCTACTACTGCCCTTACACCAGCTCCGGACTTCCTACCGCCACCGTCATTCCCGTGACTCTGTCCCCCAAGCCTACTGAGGCCCCCAAGCCAACCACCACTGCCCCTGCATCCCAGCCTGAGGCCCCCAAGTCTGAGGCGTCCAAGTCCGAGGCATCCAAGTCCGACTCCCCCAAGCCTACCACTAGCTCTACGCCCAACACTAGCAAGCCTCCTTCCGGTGGTTTCAATGGCAGTTTCGGCGGCAAGGGTAACCACTACGGTATTACCTACACCCCTTACTACGGCGAGTCTGGTGACTGCAAGGATGCCACTCAGGTCAAGAAGGATCTTCAGGAAATTAAGAACGACGGCTTCAATGTCATCCGTGTCTACGGTACTGACTGCAACGCTCTTGAGACGATTGGCCCTGCCTGCGAGGAGCTTGGTATCCGCATCATTTTGGGCGTCTTCGTCAAGGGTGCCAGCTGCAGCTACGAGTCCAAGGAAATCAAGGACCAGGTGGACGCAATTGCCAACTGGAAGCATCTTGGTCTCGTCGACCTCATGGTGATTGGTAACGAGGTCCTCATGCAGGGTCTCTGCCAGCCCTCGGATCTCGCAACCCTGGTCACTACCGCCAAGAGCAAGTGGTCCGGTTACAGCGGCCCCTTCACTATCGCCGAGACCCTCAACATCTGGGAGCGATCCGATGTGACCAGTGCTCTCTGCGGCGTCGTTGACTACACCGGTGCCAACATCCACCCTTACTTCAACAGCCAGGTTTCCCCCACGACTGCTGGTGAGTTCGTCTCGAGTCAGCTTGAAATCCTTGACAGCATCTGCAGTGGTAAGAAGGCTATCAACCTGGAGTGTGGCTGGCCTGCTGAGGGTTCTTGCAACGGTGTTGCCTGCCCCGGCAAGGTTGAGCAGCTTACCGCTCTCAAGTCCATCCGTGAGTCCTGCGGTGACAGGACCGTCTTCTTCTCCTTCGAGAACGACAAGTGGAAGCAGCCTGGTTCTTGCGGCTGCGAGCAGTCCTGGGGCTGCAAGGAGTTCTTCAAGGGTCTCCTGTAAGCGAGTATAGGTGAATCCTGGGAGGTATGGGGATGGGTTTCTTGTATGTGATTCGTGCAATTGCCAGTGACCATTTACACGTACTTTGAGATGGATAAGGCACTACATAAAATTTACTGTTTAATATATCTATATATAATGACAACCACTTGGCATTCAATCTTCGCATCAGAATTTGTTCGCCATTTCTTCGCTTCCCAATTCTCAGGAGTGCTTCTGTACCGAGCATGAGGTCAGTGAATCCAAGCTCTCCATCAGTTTGGATGTTAGTCCGTTGTACGAAGTGGCCCTCGCATAGCAACAGAGCTGCGTGCATTTTTGAACCAGAACCCTCCCCTGAGTTGGGCTCATGGTTATGATCGCTCTGTTGCAATTATTTGTACTCACTCTGCCAAGAAGCATCTCCTGGCTAGCTATAGGAATCAATTTTATCCTCTTAGTTTCGCCATATCTCTCCCAACCGCCTCATTCGATTCATGACAACTTACCCAAACACCTTTGGACCATGTAGGCAGGCAAATTGGGGTCCCACTCGCCTTCGCCCCCTCGAGGCGCTTCGTCGCCGGCGTCAGATGAGAAATCCCCCCCAAACTAGAAAAGGGGAGAAAGACCCAATGCCCGACGGACAGAATGGTACCCGAACCGACCGTCGACCGACCGTAGCGACGGAGGGTATAGGCAGAGCGCAGACCTCCTTCTCACGTCGTGGCTCGCCCCTTGGCCTGCTCCTCACAAAGTGATTAATCACATACAATAACTATACCGCACACATCAGTTTTTATGCTCATCTGACCCCCGTTGTATGTACATATAATACCGCAATGTAGCAGCGACTCGTCACTTATCTCCCCTCTTCTCTTGTTTTCTTTCCTTTTTTTTTCTCCTCTTCCCTTGCAAACGAGCGAGTAGGGAAAACAAAGTACGAATACTTCATCGTGCAGGACTCAGGTCTCACCTCTGGCGCCGGTGATAGGTCGGGCGTTGTCACATATCACCCATCCCAAGCTACCTAACCTAAAACATGAGTCTCCCCCCACGTACGCTCACCACGTGAAGCTACACGAACCGAGACGGGTGCGTCGTGGGCAGAGCGATAACATGACGGATGACAGGTATTCTGGCCCCCAAGGTGGTTCTCAGCCCCCCCTCCAAACCGCATGTGCACCCAATCTAGAAAGGAAAAGAACCCGTCGCGAGCCGTTCCAAACGAACCCGTGCTGACACACCCCTCCCCCCCTTTACGAGCTTGTCTCTCTCCTATCCACTGTCGTCCCCCTCCCCGGTCCGCATCGGGAGTTGCGTGGTATCAAAGACCAGAATACAGCGAGAGGGCGGCGGTGGCCACGAGACCTCCAGAAAACCGACCCTCTGCCCATCCTTCACGGCTCCCGATCTTGGCCCGAGGGGACCATAGGCGTAACAGACGGGAAATGTGACGGCTAGTGCATGGCTCCACCCCACGGGCTTACTTACCCACCCGCTATGTCGTTGGAGTTAAGCGAGCGCGAGCGAGGCAGCTGAGAGAGGTAGAGCGGTGTGCACGTAACTTATACGAAAGGAGATGTCCCTTCACCTTATCGTACTTGGGCGCCCCAGCAGAGGATGACGAGGTCTGTTGATGGGTGACTCGGTCTCTCGTGGGTGGATAACTCGTTCTTGATAACAAGTCCAGGCGTGGGGGAAAAAGACGGTAAGCGGGCACGTCAGAGTTCGACCTGCCGGAGTCAATTATATCAATTAATGATTAGTCGTAGCCTAGGAAGAGTCGGGCTAGTGACCCCATGTAGCATCCACGAAGGCTGAGGTATGATATTGGAGCAGGATGAACAACAAAAGTAACACCGAGACTGGTTACTGATTGTACTTTTGATGAGCAATCGAATTCCAGCCTGACTCGTCTTATATTGAGAGGCCTAATGTCCTCGCTTGTGTAGAATTCGAATCTGAGATAATAAGTAATTGCCTGTCAGATCCATTACCCATGCTCCTTACCATGATAATAAACTCTGAGAGGCAACCGAGAGGAGAAGGGAACAAGATAATGATAACGCCGATATCGCACTTCAAACGCCTTCATCATTCCATACTAAGAAAAAAACATGCCTGTGGGCCAAGAAATCCGCTTTGCCCTATGATCATTCCGAGCCTTGATATGCTTCTCATGATATTAATACCCAAGTGATAGCCAAAAAAAAACCGCATCGGGAAGGAATAAAATCCGAAACAGGGACCAAATATGATATGCAGACAACCGTTGGTGGTTCCTTTCACCATGATAAACAACGCTCTTATTTGCTCGTACGTGTCCGTGAGTAGTACTTTTGGTGAAGTCATATGGGTTAGCCGGGCCGAGGGGAGTGTGTGCTCGTCGAGGCCAACTTGGAACGCCTGTCTAAATGCCGCCATAAATAAAATGGGGGGTTTGAATCGCGGCAGCTAGAAATGCCGGAGAGTTGAAAGAGGGTAGGTAAATCGACTGGACTGAAGCAGCCCACATCTGTCGAATTGAATGAGGCCACCTCTGCGGGTGTCACTGACCAAGACATTGAGTTGTTGGCCTTCCTCGGCGAAGGCTACGCCGCCAATCTCTCCGAATAGGTCGATGGTCTGTTTCTTCCGAAACGTCTTACCGTCGATTATGTTGATGTAATCCGCCTCCTCTGCCGCAACGAGGACTGGTTCACCACTACCAAGTGGTGAAAACTTTAGGCTTCGGGCACTGGACAGCTCACATAGTATGCTCATGACTGGAGTGCTATTGCCGCTGGAATCAGCCCACTTCCGGGCGTCCCAAATCTTGACACGCCTGTCCTGGAAGCCTGTTGCCACGGTCACCCCGTCGTCGGACCAGTCGCAGGAAAACCCGTAATCGCGATGACCCTTGAGCGTCACCTCGACTGCACCTGTGTCGGCGTTGACGATGCTTGTATCTGGGGTATCACCTACAAGTACCCGAAGTCGACGATCCGGCGAGATAGCAGAACAGTTCAAAGCGGAGGGGTAAAATGTTTCCGAGATGAACTGCTCGGTTGTCAGGTCCAACATTCTCAGGCCATTATCGTTGCTGGCGATCGCGGCAACGGGCGATGACGAACGGCGCGGGGTATGGATTTGGATATGAGTAGTGATGGAGCCCGAATCGCCAGTAATCTGGCCTTCAGAGGGCCTCTGGGTGTCCTCGGCGTGGATTGGTTTGATGCAGTAATCTCCGTTGAAGGTTCCACCCACCAGCACCTCCGAAGTTGCGTCAAGAGCTGTGACAGTACGTTGCGATGCACCGTGGGATCTGACATTCATGACCAAGTCCGATCTCTTCGATACAGGGTTCAGTCGATTGATACCTCGGCGGGTTGCGTAGTAGACCTGTGACCGAGAGGGGCAGGCGAGGACGGAACGGAGCTGGAAATGGGACAGATGAACATCTGAGCGCATGATCGTTTGGCGATATCGAAAGTAGCTCTCCGATGGGGGGATAAAAGTGTCTGACTCGGTTGTCTGGATTAATGTGTTAGCTCAGTCTATATTCAAGGTTACACACCCCAGTAGAAAGCAATACGTACCGTAATAGTATCCGACCCTGGGATGTTGACATAATTCTTGTAGGATTGGTTTCGTGTGATCCTCGCTGTCTTCCGAGTCACTCCCATGCTTTCCCAGTCGAGGCCTTGCATATCGCAATTGTCTCCATTAAGATCTGAATATGAAACTCCTCTTACACTCCGACTTATCTGGTCCATCATGCGGTGAGTATTCGGGACTGTGAAGTTGGGGTTTTGTCTCCTATGAAAAGAGCCATAGCGAGCCCAATAACGAAGAAAGTCAAGTAACCCATAGTTTTGAGACCCTGTAGTTTCGGCACTCCCTGAGCTTAGCATTAGTGGTGGGAGATCATCCTCACCAGGGGCCAGAGGCGGGGCATTAGGGAACGAGTATGCGTATCCGAGAGGGTTTAGTGAGTATGTCGTCGGAACTATGGCCAAACCATTAACGCCGGGATATCCCAAAGGGAAGCCAAAGGTGTTGTTGTGAGGTCCCGGGGGTGGGGATGGGTGCGGCGCGGCCTCGTCTTCATCCGTGAAGTCTGGATCTGAGCCGTTGGGTCCATCAATGTCAACTTCCTCCATGTCTACTTCAGACGAACTATTTGAATGAATCGGTTGGAGGCTATTGAAAAAAGAACCAATATGCGAGGGGTATAAACTATTACCTCCTTCGTTGATGTTGCTCTCGCCCTCGCTCATGATATCGTCATCAAGCCAAATGCTTGAGGGTGAATTAGACACGACGCCAGAAGATGCCGACGAGCCATCAGCTTGGTCGACGACATTGAAATAATTGCCCGAGATTCCCTGTAATGATGATGATGGGTTTGGATCTTGCGCCATCGGGGTGTGGTGAAAGATGTGGTCCTCTGGTAGGTTGCTCACCCCACTGTCCTGGCTGAATCCATGGCTGGCAAGATCAAGGTCCGGTATGCCGTCGTCTTGGTCTTCACTGATAGACATGCTATCGGCTCCGTCATGAGCAGAGAACGAAGTCGAACTGGTGCCTGGATTCACCTGGGGGGTGTTGCCGATATGATGGGAACTGGCGCCGGCGGCCATGAGACGATGGGCCAGCAGCGGTGGTGTGGAGCGCATGTTGCTGGCGGAGAGGAGCGGGATATCCTCTGATGTCTACCTACTGGTATTTATGCCCACATTACTAGGCCGCAAAAGAAGGTTGCCTTGGCTGGCGCATACGAATGAAACGTATGCAAGCTCTCAAATCGAGCCTCCCCTGGCCCCCTGCAGAGAAGCGGTTCTGGGTTCTAGCCCAAGCAGAACTTTGCCGGTACGTTGCAGGCCAGACCGTTATGAGTACGGATACCCAGACCTGCAAGTTCGTCTCTCCTCGTCGCAATACGGCTGAGGCCCTCCAGCTTCGGGCTACCACCTGGTCCTCAGATTGATTGTCGTCGGAGTTTCAGGCGTCGGCGCGCATCCAGCTTGGCCTGCCTGGGTTGCGATTACACGTATCGCGTCGCCTCTGTCGTTTCTTTTTCACCCAGCGCCCCCCCTCTCTCCTCTAATTGCTCCGCCGCCACTGGTTGGTGGGTGGTGGTGGTGGCTTCCGAGTCAACGGTGTGGGACAGCCAAGTGTTGGTGGTTACGTCCAGCGCAGGGCTGCGGGATGACGCACGGGAAAAGAACTAGAGAAAGAAAAAAAGTAACCGAAAAAAAGAAAAAAAGAAGATGGAAGAGTAAAAAGAAATACCTAACGCAGGGGGGGAGTGATGAAGGTAGCAAGGCGCAGTTGTCTGGGCGGCAGCAACGCAGACGACGGTAGTTGATTTAGTGCCAGTGCTTGAGGTTGACTCGAGGGGCGGGAAGGCAGTTAGTAGTAGTAGTCGAGTCGCGGCTGACGGATGGATCGACAAGCTACCCGTGATTGTCCCCAGTTAGCTAGGCCTGCCTAATGGTACCGAAAAGGCATCAACCAATATTGCCCGGGGGGAGGGGTGTCAAGCCTAGTAGCAAACCCCGGTTTTCTTCTGGCTGGCTGCAGCAGAGACAAATAAAGAAAAGTACCTCAGCTGCAACTACCCAGCACCATGTCGTGGGTGCACCGAGTAAGTAGGTACCTGTGGAGGAGGGAGTAGGTATGCTCAGCTTCGTGTTGCACGCTGCAGTCGCCGTCCAGGGTGGCGGAAATGCGAGAAAGGACTGATCGCAATAAGAAACGAAACGAGAGGTGTCAGTTTGATGTTCATCATTGCTCCTTCTGCTCTGCTGCAAGACCCAGGTGCTACCTCAGATAAGGTAAGGTATGCATGTATTGCATCGCCAAGTCCCGCCTGCCTCCTGGTGGCTGTTCGATTCGGAATGGCCATTGGGTGCTAGCAACGGATACCGACATGCATGCACGGCGCTCACACAACTTGTCTCATCCATGGATGCTTGCTTGTTCCCGAGCTGGGCTGGACCAGCGAGGTTGCCAAGCCCAGGCACAGCACAGCGCAGCAGAGAGCACATCCATCACCCGAAGTGACGGGCTGTGCTGTGCCCGAGTCGTGCCAGCATCCCATCACTCATGCCACTGCCGCTGTCCCAAGCAGGCAGTCGTGCTGACCGTCGGCCCCATGTCAGCGGGCAAGACATAGCTAACTACAGGGAGGGGACGGCCACCACGACGAGGCATTTGGGACAGGCATATCATAGTGTCTGCACATATATGGCACACCCATTGTGATGATTGTCGGAAGCTACCCCATATTAAGAGCTTTATCCGCCGGGCATCGTATCCCACCTGGTCTTGTTGCGTGCTTGCTTGCTCGCAATGCAGCCACCTGGGACCCGTCCGCCAATCTGCTAACCTGGTGGGTAGGTACATGAGAGTGGGTGCAAACACCTCCTCCGGTGCCGACTAGGGATCATGGCGGGTGTCACCGGGACTTTTGAGCTCGTTCTGAGAGCTATCTTGTAAGCAACGCCTGTCTAGCCTCTCTATTAATAACGAGCTCGCGAGGGATACCTGTGAGCTTGGGGCGCCGTTGGAATTTCGAATTGGTGGTCCCTTCCAGCGCCTACGGACCCTGAGCCAGGCCCCTGTCGCCCAGAAGACCCTACAGGATACTCCACGAGTCGATCCCTAGGAATAGCAACGCCCGGCTTCCCGTAAGGCTGAGGGTGGCCGTCTGGAGCAAAGTACCTTTCTCTGCTTACTCCCGTAACGGCTCCCTGCCGAGCCATATGCTAATTGCCTCGTCACCGTCCTGATCTGATGCTACGGAGGCCATGACAAGTTCCGAGCGGTCTAGGTGGGCAATCGGGATCGGGTGGGTTTTGGAGGGTCGATTAGCGCCTCTGCTCGCTGCCTCAGCACCTACAAACCTTGTACGCCCGTAAGCAAAGCGAGCCCGGCTTACATCTCCGCAGAAACATACATATGGACTTCTTCAAGCTTCTGCCGCCGTGACGGTGACCTGCAGTCGCAGCTCGAATCATACCGGCACACACCTACCCACCGGACCGTTACATGATTGACCATTGGCGAAAAGGCGTGGATAGGCGCTGCGCGTCGACCTGCTGTTGGAACACCGAAGTCCCAAGATGCAACCCTGGGCCAAATCTCACCCCCAACCTCCAGCCAACCGATCCGGGTCCCTATGACGCTTCCCCATCACCCATCCAGACAGGCCAGCCTGATTGGGCCGCAGCGGAGTTCACTTGCAGCACTCTCTTCTGCTTTGGACCCGGCGCATCAAACGCGCTGGCGCTGTGCGACACGAAGGAACGTCTACATGGATTTTCACCCGCATGGATCATGGGATAGGATGGAGGAAGGGGAGGGGGTAAGGGCCGCGGATGGGGGGAAGCATGCTGGTCGACGGATGCGGTGCGACAGGAATGAATGAGATATACGAAGCCTCTTCTCAGTGGTGTGGCCATCATGCATGCCGGCTGCTTCTTCTGTCCCTCACTTGTCGCTTTCCTCCCTCGCACAGTCGGACGTGCGAATGACCCGGGCAAGGCCTCCTCCGTGTCTCACCTCCCGTCCTTTATGATAGCTGATATATTCCCGTCGCATTGATTCCCACGGCGCGCATCCGCGTCGAATCAAGGCCGTCCTCGACCCTGCGCCCCACTGCTACTCTGCCCTTCCAGCTCCAACTCATGGATCTCCAAGGCCTCACGAGTACATTCTGCAACATGATATATCAATCGCACGCAACCAGTGCGCGGGCGACTGTGACAAGGTGGCGCGGCCTGGCCTCAATCCAATCCAAGCCCCTGGTGCATACAGCAGCCAAATACCTGTCCATTTGCCCAGCAACTAGAAACACATCCCCCTTGGACTTACCTGCATAGAGACCTCCCGACCGTCTTCCGAGGCCAGCGATATGCTGTTCTTGTGTAACCGCCCCGGAAACCCAGTTCGCGGCCTCCCCTCGCGGCGCACAAGCTTCCCGCACACCCACAGCAGAAAAGGGACCTTGGGGCGGACACCGCCGGCTTGTGACCCATGCCATGACAGACGAGAATTCGACGCATAGGAGCTCCATGTCCCCCTTTGCTGTCTACCTACCTACATGCATGCCCCCATCCGATGGGTGGTACCTACTATGCAAAGCACGGCGCGCACCAAGGCATGTATACGTTGCCTCGCATGTACATGGTCCTGCGCACACCCGGGATCGTGTCCCAAATGGCCAATTTGCACATTGCGAATCTACACATTGCATAGAAGATCCCAGATGGCGATGCAACGCAGGCCCTAGCTTCCCCCCCGCTCCGCAACTTTCCTGCCCGCATCGAGGGGTCGTACAGCACACTGACTAATAAGCAAACCCCCCATTTCCCTCACGCAAACGCCCGGCCAGCGCGAATTATGTATGTGGTGTGTGGCCCTGGATGACCCGACGAAGCGAGCGAGATGGTGGGAAGTCGAGGAGTGTGTGTACCAGAGTCGTAGGGAGCCATCGCGATGGTACACCAGACGGGCGAAGTGCCCGTTCCTCGATACCCCCCTTCTCCGTCGGCCCTTCTTAACTGCGATGTCATATTTGTGCGCGGATTTGATTCATCACTGGAATTTATAAATATATGACTGGTAATCAGCGACACCCGTGAAATATGACAGGCTCGGACTTCGCGACTACGTAAGGGAGCAGGGCGACACGGGCGTTTACTAGACACAACGCCGCCAATAGCGCCTCCTTTTTTAAAAAAACAAAAAGCTCCGACAGTGTCTCAGCCGAAACCACCGTAGAGTGACCCCCACCCTTGGCTGCGTGGGAAAATGTGACGATTCCTTTGCGAGGGAAAAAGTACTCGCCGAGCCTGGACACATACATGCGAGAACAAGATTCCTCATAAAAATTTCTCTTGTCACTTTCCTCTGACTGGCTCTTTCTCGCCACCTGCTCGCAAACCTAACCAAGTCTAAGTCCCTAGTCTAAAACTTGTTCTCTAGTCTCCTCTCCTCCTTCAGTTTCAGGAGGTGCTCCAGGGCGGTGTCGACGGGGATCAGCTCGCCCTTGGACTGTGTGCTCTGGTCGTCTCTGTTGCGGATGTTGACCGTCTTTGATTCAGCTTCCTCAGCTCCGACAACTGTATGCAATGTTAGCGCCAGACTTAAGCCACCGTAGTGATAATTTTTTTTTAATTTTCCTTTTGGAATAAAACATCCTAAAGGGCCCAAAAGGGGGAGTACTGACCGAAAATAAAGTTGTACTGCTCCAGCTGTCCTGTGCGGATCTTCTTCTGGAAAGTGTTTGCGCTCAGGTCGGCCTCGGCGAACAGTCCCTTCTCTTGGAACTTCTTCTGCACATCCTGTGCGTAGTCGTTCGCCGCTGGCATGACTGGCACAACCAGGACCTGGCGAGGGCTGAGCCAGAACGGCCACTTCCCGGCAAAGTGCTCTGTGAGAATACCAATCATTCGCTCGAAGCTGCCCAGGACAGCACGGTGAATCATCACGGGGCGGCCGTAGCCGGTTGGCAGGTCGTCATCTTCGGCTGACTTCTCGGCCAGCTTCTCGTCCTTGGAAGCGACGTAGCGAAGCTTGAAGCGCTTGGGCAAGTTGAAGTCCAGCTGGATGGTGCCGCACTGGAAGTCACGTTTCAAAGCATCATAGACGGTGATGTCGATCTTGGGACCGTAAAAGGCACCGTCACCGGGGTTCTCCTCCCACTTGCTGTCAATCTTCTCGACGAAGGAATCAAGCGCTTGCCTCAACTTGTCCTCAGCCATATCCCAGACAGCAATGTCTCCAATGAACTTCTCTGGGCGGGTAGAGAGCTTGAGCTTGAACTGGAATCCGAAGAGACCGTACACGGCATACAGGAAGTCGAAGGCACCTTCGATCTCATCACGAATCTAGGAGGAAATTAGTTGTTGTCTTGGGGCTAGTCCCAACGATCCTGCCTCGCTTACCTGGTCTACGGTACAGAAGATGTGAGCATCGTCCTGCTGGAATCTGCGAACTCGAGTAAGTCCAGACAAGGCACCGGAGAACTCATTACGGTGAAGGACACCGAAATCTGCCATCCTCCAGGGGAGGTCCTTGTAGGTAATGTCTGAGTGGGCAAAGATCTTGCAGTGCCCGGGGCAGTTCATAGGCTTCAAGCCGAACTTCTCCTTCTCGACATCGAAAGTGAACATGTTCTCGGCGTAGTGGCCCCAGTGTCCAGAGGTCTTCCATAGGTCAGACTTGTACATATTGGGGGACATGACCTCCTGGAACCCTCGCAGGCGGTACTGCTCTTGCATCAAAGTCATGAGAGAGCTATAGATGCGGGTTCCGTGGGGAAGCCAGAAGGTAGAGCCAGGAGACACCTCGTCGAAAAAGAAGAGCTTCTGGTCCTGGCCGATCTTGCGGTGGTTTCGCTTAGCAGCCTCGGCGAGGAAGGTCTTGTACTCTTCCAGAGCCTTCTTGTCGGGGAATGAAATGCCAGAAATTCGCTGCACAGACTCATTCTGGCTGTTTCCAAGCCAGTATGCAGCAGAGTTCTACAACACATGTAAGCTGACATACTTCTCATCAGAGGAACTCTTCTCTTACCTTGAGAACGGAGAATGCCTTGATGTTTCCGGTGTGGGGGACGTGGGGACCACGGCAGAGATCGATCAGAGGACCGCATCGATATACTGTGCTCTTGGTTCCGTCGGGAACACGCTGGTTGATGAAGTGAAGCTTGTACTTGCTGTACTTGAACATCTCAACAAGCTCTTCCTTGGTCATCTCGAGACGCTCAAATGGCTGCTTCTCCTTGATGATGGAGCTGGAAATGTTCTCCAGTGCCTTCTTATCCTCGTCGGCAACGACCTTGCTGCAAAGAGCGTCAGTACTGATCTGTACCAGAGACAACTTTCCAAGCACAAGACCTACCCCTCCATGTTGGCCATGTCGTAGTAGAAACCGGGGGGGTCCTCAGTAGGGGGACCATTGCAGAGATAGCAGCCGAACCGTCTCTCGCAGGCCTCGCCCAAGATGTGTGCCGAAGAGTGCCAGAAAACCTTCTTGCCTTCGATATTCTCAAAGTCGATCAGCTCGAGCTTGCAGCTCTTCTCAAGGGGTCGGGTGAGATCCCAGAGCTCTCCGTCGACCTGGGAGATGACTGTGCGTTCAAGCAGCGACTTCGAGATACCCTTGGCAATCGACGCGGGGGTGGTCTCCCAAGCTACACCCTTCTCCTCCTTTCCGTTGGGAAGCTGAATAGTGATCTCGTCACGCGGTTTGGCTACCCTCTGTTAGTTCTTCAGGCCGACATGATTTTTTTCTCAACTGCCACAACTCGCCGTCCCCTTGAAGCGTGACGCACCAGCAATTTCGGCATCGTACTTGGCCTTGATCTTGTCAAAGAGGTCGAGTCGGTGCTGGATGTATTCGGGGAGTTCAGGCAGCTAAACGAGACGTCAAATGTCAGTCAATTGGCGCACATGGGACAAAAGGGTCATGGCGCTCTCTGGTGTCGTGTTCGGAAGCCCAATCTGTCGATTTCAACGGCGGGGGGAGATGCGAACCTCTAGACCGGCCTTCTTGTTGCCCTTGACGGGCTTCTCCTTGGGCTGCTTGGCTGGGCGCGAAGGCAGGTCCTTGGCGGGGGCGCCCTCGGCAGGCTTTGGGGGCTCGACTTGCTCAGATGCCATT